TTCTAATTTTAACAAAAATACTGGAGTGGCCATCTCTGGCTTATTAGTCATAAGCACTCGGACATTATGGCACCCGAGGCTCGAAACCGCCACCCGTTAGCTAAAAGCCGAACGCTCTGGCCACTGCGTCAGTCACTTAATCTTCACATGTGCGATGGTAATTGCCTAAATTTTTTGGACCAATACTCATCTTTGCGTTTCTAATTTCCTATTTGTGGCATGGCGGACCGATTAGCCTGGTCGTTAACCACTTGAGTATGTAATTTTGTCAGCCTCATCTGTTATGGCCAGAGCAAACCAGTTAATCGCTTCCCTTCGTGAAACGCCTCCACCGAAAATATCCGTGCCTTCAGAATCGCAATTTGCTCTCACTCGTCATTATGCAATACGGCCATAATGTTGGTTTCTGCATGCCCTACAGCCCATAAGTAGCTGTGCAGTCGGGCTTGGCGATCCTCACATTTGCAGCTGAATTTACAGACGCAAATAGAGGCTTACTGATAAGACAGCATGTTCTCAGTTGCCTCAGTTAAATGCCAGCGTCTTTTCGCTGCCTATCTAGCTTGACAGATGAACGAAACAGTAGGTTCGCTCGAGGTCCTTATCAACTGATCGGCCGCAATGCAGTAGCTTCCGACACCAATGGGATCTTGGCAGAAGTGTTTGTGACTGTCTTGAAAACTGCGCAGTTTCCGCGTGTCCCTTGCTTTGCTGAATACCCCTGATTTTATTTCACCATGTATGCTGCGGTATACACTACCATCGAAGAGGACAAAGCGATTGCAAATCTCCGAGTCCACTGTAAACTGATTTTGTTTTCATCCAGCGAGTTCGGCAGTTAGCTAACCTGCTGGAAAACCTGGCAAGAAAACCTCGAACTTTTTCTCAAAGTATCGAATTCTGAAAGTCGATTAATACTTGTAAAAGCTTAGAGTTCAGTGTGTGTGGAAGGGCGATATGGGCAATCAAAGCGGAGTGTAGCAGCTACATGTGTCTACTTCGAAAGAGTCGGTTTGTTAATCCACACACAGTCTTGGCGGGTGTCGCGCGCATGTTGATGTACCACTCCTTAACGGGCTACACATTAAAGACTACGAGGGCAAGGTGATTAGATGTCTCCGACTCCACTGTAAACGGAATATTTTGGCCCGGCGAGATACCCTGCTGGAGGCATTCAGGCAGGAAAATCTCTAATTGTTTTCTCAAAGTATCAAATTGTGAATGCCAATCGATTCTTATTAGAAAAAACCTAGAGTTTGGTGTGTGAAAGGGCCAATCGGCCAGTAGCAGCTACACGTGTTTACCTCTAAATTGATTAAGAATGAACTAGGTTCAGAGGCAGTACCATATGTATTAGGAGTTTTAGCAGATTTGCTTAATTTGAGTTGACCCAACCGTTAAAAACTCCCAATTCGGTCAACTCGAATTAAGCAAATCTGCCAAAACTCCTAATAATTAGGTCAGCCTAGCAGTCATTCTAGTGGATTCTAGATGATTTCTCAGGAAATCCTGCTTGGGCAGTCAGCTTGCTGTTCCGTATTGGTAGATTCCAT